GTTTGAAATCAGGGCCTTGAACCTTCTAAGCTGGTTCTTTACCACTTAAGCCACACCATACCCCTTTTATCAAGTAGGGTCTCACATTTTTTACTGGGACCAACCTAGACTGCAACCATCCTACCTACCTACCTACACAGCAGAGCTCACAAAAGTATACCATTATGCCCAGCTTGATTGTTGAGGTAGTGGTATCTTCCTAACTTTTCTCCAGGTTATCCTTAAATTTCAGTCATCCCAATCTCCATTTACCATAGCTGAGATTATAGACACCCAGCCCAATAATACCATTTTAAATTTATTTCCAGTGTTTTGTGTTTTTGTTTTTTTGGTCGGTCATGGGGGCTTAAACTCTGGGCCTGGGCACTGTCCCTCAGCTCTTCAGCTCAAGCCACAGCTCCACTTCTGGTTTTCTGGTGGTTAACTGGGGATAGGAGTCTCACAGACTCTCCTGCCCAGGCTGGCTTTGAACCATGATCCTAGGCTGAGAAGGTGGCTCAGTGGTAAAGCGCTTGCCTTGCATGCTTGAGGTCCTGGGTTTGATTCCTCAGCACCACATAAGCAAAAAGAAAAAAGCCAGAAGTGGTGCTGTGGCTCAAGTGGTAGAGCGTTAACCAGCCTTGAGCTGAAGAGCTGAGAGACAGCGCCCAGGCCCAGAGTTCAGGCCTATGATCGGACCCAAAAAAAAAAAAAAAAAAGAACCATGAGCCTTAGATCTCAGCCTTCTGAGTAGCTAGGATTACAGGTATATGCCACAGGTGCCCGGCTTATTTCTAGTTTATTTGGAAGGGTAAATTGTGCATCAGTATTTTAACTACACTAAAGTAGTAGTTAAACCAGATCAATTATAAAAGTACGTTATTTTAAAAAAAAATATCTTTTCGGTAGTGTTGGTTACAAAAGTGTATATATTTAGCAAAACTCAACTATGGTCATTTCAAATATATATTTGATTAAGTTGACTCCTTAATAAAATTGATTTTAACAGGATAGTGGGGAGGTAAGCCAGTGCAGAGTGGATAGAATCTAAACCAGAAAAATCATATACTTACCTTAAGTTCTTGATCTAGCTTATCTAAGCTGCTCTGAGATGCACTTCGCTGCTTACTGCCTTCAGTGTCCAAACCAGCAACATCTTTGTAAAACACACTTGCTCCAACAACAGAACCGCCATCTCTGGTCTTCCCACCAGATAAATTAACTCCAACAGCACACCAGAGCTTCTCAAGTTGGGAGTGGGAGTGGAGAAAACAAAGTTACTGTCATCTTCTCTCTAAAAATATTTAGAATTTCCAACCTTTTCTAAACTAACTAATGGTAGTGGATAAAGATTTTTAGTATATTATATAGCTACATAATCTCACTATATAAGTAGCATTTTTTTTTGGGGGGGGGTCCAGTCGTGGGGCCTGAACTCTTAGCCTGGGTGCTATCCCTCAGCTCTTCAGCTCAAGGCTAGCACTCTACCACTTGAGCCACAGTGCCACTTCCGGCTTTTTCTGTTTATGTGGTGCTGAGGAATCGAACCCAGGGCCTCAGGCATGCAAGGCAAGCGCTCTACCACTGAGCCACCTTCCCAGCCCTAAGTAGCATTTTTAAGCAAAAAAAAAAAAAAAAAAAATCTCATGTTTGGGGGAATATCCACTTTAATTTTACAATTAACTTACCTTCATGGATGTATCTTTTTCATCAAGAGGTCTGAGATAGACAGGCACAGGTAAATTTTTCATCTTATTTTCCCCTTGACCATTGGTTACCTAACAATGGAAAAGATATCATTGGTAAATCTCATCAAAAGTAAATTTCAAGCCTGGTGCAGTGGCTCATGTAATCCTGTAATCCTAGCTACTCAAGATTGTGGTTCAAAGTCAGCCCAGGCAGGAAAGTCCATGAGACTCTTATATACAATTCAGCACAGAAAAAAAGCTGGAAGTAAAGGTGTGGCTCAAGTGGTAAGAACACAAACTTTGAGCAAAAAAGCTCAGAGAGAGTGTTCAGGATCTGAGTTTAAGGCTTGAACACACACACAAGTTCAAGGCTTGAACACAGACACAGACATTTAAGGCTTGAACACACACACAAGTTCAAGGCTTTAACACAGACACACACAGACACAGAGAGACGACAGATACACACACACACACACAGAGCAAACATCCAGGCTGGAGAAGACACACACACACACACACACACACACACACACACACACACACACAGAGAGAGAGAGAGAGAGAGAGAGAGAGAGAGCGCAAATATCCAGGCTGGAGAAGAGACTCAAGTAGTAGAGTTCCTGCCTTGAAAGCACAAGGTCTTAAT